GCTTTTTTCATCGCAGGCGTTGCTAACCTACTGCAGCCCGAGCCGCTAATCAACAAAACAAAGCAAGTTCGAGACATTCTCGAACTTAGTCCATCTTGCTAGATTATTGGCTGCGCCGCACGTGCATCTCAGGAGGTCATCTTGCAGCTCAGCATCGGAGAAGATCTGGACACTTTCCCAAAGAGAAATAGCACTGTGGTATCCGTTGGACGATGAAGTCAAGCTTTTTCAGTCAGATGTCCATCTCAAGGCTTCTCCGCGGGGAACCTGCAGGGCCTGCCTTCCTGAAAGGTTCCAATGAAGGTGCGCGCTGCGGCTGGAATGTCGACAGAACGCGGACCGCTCCGCCTACATTGTGAATCCATCAGCAGCGCCGAGGGCTTGGCAGGGCAGCCGTGGAGCAGCTTATCCAACTTGAAGAAGATGCCCCATGGCTGGCCTTGGATGTTCAAACTCATGGCTGTGAAACAACAAGGCAGTTGGAGACAACCTCAAGAAGCTTGAGCCGTGCGCAAGTGGTTGTGCTGCAAGCTTGTGGCAGGGCTCATGAACATCGCGGAGACAGCTAGCATGCGTTCTGTCACCTCACCCCGCAAACAATTGCGCGAACCTTTTTTGCCTTTCTTGCTGCGCTGACCTTGGCTCGGGCGCAGCTCATGCCACACTGACTGTCAGTCCCGGCAGCAATGCTTCGTGCGGACGCGCCGCGTCTGTTTTTCGCCAGCTGCGTAATGACGACACTGAACAAGCTCGGTAAACTTCTCAATCCGAGTTGCGTGGCTCAAACTGAAGAATCTCGATGCGTGGCTCAACATGCTATTTGCAGCAGCTAACGGCCAACATATTGCTTCAAGGTTAGCTACTGGTTTTGCCAAGCAGAGCCACGCTTCAAAGGATTCGGACAACATTTCGCTGTGATAGCTGCGTCATTCTTCTCATTCCGAGTTGCGCGGCGCCCAAAAATGCAATCACAGCAGCTAGTGTCGAACATTGTTTCATGCCTGCTCTAGCACTGGTCTTGCCAAGCAGAGCTAGTCTTAAAAGGGGTTGGCATGCTGTCTCGCAGCGTGCGCGCTCGCTTACCGGGAGTCCACTCACTGGCATAGCTCACCATTCGCCTGCCACGATTTCGCACGCCCCCCGCCGCGCGCGCGCCAACATCCTGTCCCTCTAGACAGCACACCCCTGCCACACAAACACACACCCAGATGCACAGAATGCTGCGCCTGCCACGACTTCGGCAACGGCATCGCCAAAGTGCTGCGCCTGCCACGATTTCGCACGCCCCCCGCCGCGCGCGCGCCAACATCCTGTCCCTCTAGACAGCTGCCGAATGCTGCCCCTGCCACACAAACACACACCCAGATGCACAGAATGCTGCGGCTGCCACGACTTCGGCAACGGCATCTCCAAAGTGCTGCGCCTGCCACGATTTCGCACGCCCCCCGCCGCGCGCGCGACAACATCCTGTCCCTTTAGACAGCTGCCGAATGCTGCGCCTGCCACGATTTCGCACGCCCCCTGCCGCGCGCGCGACAACATCCTGTCCTTTTAGACAGCTGCCAAATGCTGCCCCTGCCACACAAACACACCCCCAGATGCACAGAATGCTGCGCCTGCCACGACCTCGGCAATGGCATCGCCAAAGTGCTGCGCCTGCCACGATTTCGCACGCCCCCCGCAATGCTGCCCCTGCCACACAAACACACACCGAATGCTGCGCCTGCCACGACTTCGGCAATGGCATCTCCACACCCAGATGCACAGAATGCAGCGCCTGCCACGACTTCGGCAACGGCATCGCCAAAGTGCTGCGCCTGCCACGATTTCGCACACCCCCCGCCGCGCGCGCGACAACATCCTGTCCCTCTAGACAGCTGCCGAATGCTACCCCTGCCACACAAACACACACCCAGATGCACAGAATGCTGCGCCTGCCACGACTTCGGCAACGGCATCGCTAAAGTGCTGCGCCTGCCACGATTTCGCACACCCCCCGCCGCGCGCGCGCCAACATCCTGTCCCTCTAGACAGCTGCCGAATGCTACCCCTGCCACACAAACACACACCCAGATGCACAGAATGCTGCGCCTGCCACGACTTCGGCAACGGCATCGCCAAAGTGCTGCGCCTGCCACGATTTCGCACGCCCCCCGCCGCGCGCGCGCCAACATCCTGTCCCTTTAGACAGCCGCAAATGTCTGCCCCTGCCACACAAACACACACCCAGATGCACAGAATGCTGCGGCTGCCACGACTTCGGCAATGGCATCTCCAAAGTGCTGCGCCTGCCACGATTTCGCACGCCCCCCGCCGCGCGCGCGACAACATCCTGTCCCTTTAGACAGCTGCCGAATGCTGCGCCTGCCACGATTTCGCACGCCCCCTGCCACGCGCGCGACAACATCCTGTCCTTTTAGACAGCTGCCAAATGCTGCCCCTGCCACACAAACACACCCCCAGATGCACAGAATGCTGCGCCTGCCACGACTTCGGCAATGGCATCGCCAAAGTGCTGCGCCTGCCACGATTTCGCACGCCCCCCGCCGCGCGCACGACAACATCCTGTCCCGTTAGACAGCTGCCGAATGCTGCGCCTGCCACGATTTCGCACGCCCCCCGCCGCGCGCGCGACAACATCCTGTCCTTTTAGACAGCTGCCAAATGCTGCCCCTGCCACACAAACACACACCCAGATGCACAGAATGCTGCGCCTGCCACGACTTCGGCAATGGCATCGCCAAAGTGCTGCGCCTGCCACGATTTCGCACGCCCCCCGCCGCGCGCGCGACAACATCCTGTCCCGTTAGACAGCTGCCGAACGCTGCGCCTGCCACGATTTCGCACGCCCCCCGCCGCGCGCGCGACAACATCCTGTCCTTTTAGACGGCTGCCAAATGCTGCCCCTGCCACACAAACACACACCCAGATGCACAGAATGCTGCGCCTGCCACGACTTCGGCAATGGCATCGCCAAAGTGCTGCGCCTGCCACGATTTCGCACGCCCCCCGCCGCGCGCGCGACAACATCCTGTCCCGTTAGACAGCTGCCGAACGCTGCGCCTGCCACGATTTCGCACGCCCCCCGCCGCGCGCGCGACAACATCCTGTCCTTTTAGACAGCTGCCAAATGCTGCCCCTGCCACACAAACACACACCCAGATGCACAGAATGCTGCGCCTGCCACGACTTCGGCAATGGCATCGCCAAAGTGCTGCGCCTGCCACGATTTCGCACGCCCCCCGCCGCGCGCGCGACAACATCCTGTCCTTTTAGACAGCTGCCAAATGCTGCCCCTGCCACACAAACACACCCCCAGATGCACAGAATGCTGCGCCTGCCACGACTTCGGCAATGGCATCGCCAAAGTGCTGCGCCTGCCACGATTTCGCACGCCCCCCGCCGCGCGCGCGACAACATCCTGTCTCTTGCGCGACAACATCCAGTCCCTTTACACGGTGTGAGTGAAAGCTGAGTGTGAGTGAGTCAGCGAGTGTGAGTGAGTGAGTGAGCGAGTGAGTGATTGAGTGAGTGATTGAGAGTGAGTGAATGAGAGTGAGTGTGAGTGAGTGAGTGTGAGTGAGCGTGAGTGAGTGAGTGAGTGAGTGAGTGAGTGTGAGTGAGTGTGAGTGAGTGAGTGTGAGTGAGTGTGAGTGAGTGAGTGTGAGTGAGTGAGTGTGAGTGAGCGCGAGTGAGTGTGAGTGAGTGAGTGTGAGTGAGTGTGAGTGACTGAGTGTGAGTGAGTGAGTGTGAGCGAGTGTGAGTGAGTGAGTGTGAGTGAGTGAGTGAGTGAGTGAGTGAGTGAGCGTGAGTGAGTGAGTGTGAGTGAGTGTGAGTGAGTGAGTGAGAGTGAGTGAGTGAGTGTGAGCGAGTGAGTGAGTGAGTGAGTGAGACAGTGATGAGGAGGGAGGGCGGGAGGAGGAGGAGAAGGAGAAGGAGACGCGGCGCGCGGACGACGAGCGGTAAAAGTAAGAACCCCACACATAGATGTGGGGAATAATAATAAAACATGGGCCCTCGTTGCGGGTGTGTTCTCAGGCGCAGCAAAAAAGCCTGAGGCTCAGCGCTCCAACGCGGCGCTCGTCACGGCCATGGCTGCGGCATTGCAGGACGTGCAGCTGCCGCTGGGCGATTAAGCGCCCCGCTTTTTTGTGTGGCAAAAATGGCTGTGCCATGGTTAGGCTTTTAATGCCAGGGCTATGCCAAAAAAACAACACCTCAGCCAACATGGGGTTTCTTTGAAGGCAAAGGGGGACTTGGCTGGGAGGGTAACTATTGTAGTCCTCGGACCGACCACAAAGACCTGAAGCAGGGATAGTTCTATTCAGCGAGCTTGCGGATTCGGGGGCAAGCCGAGCTCACCATGATGTAGGTGCTTCGCTGGTTTGAGATGCTGGAAAAATCAGTCATAGTAAAACCTGGCGATTCATTTTACTGGGGTTCCCCCGTGTGCAAAGTGATTGGTGGACATAAATCCCGTCCCAATTTAAAATCATACCCACATGCAGATTGCTGAAGTGAGCTGCCGGGACCGATGCTTGCAAACATGAGGCCAAGCGACTGCATCCAAGGTGCGGGGGCGGGGGGAGTGGAGGTGCTTGGTTGGGGCCGTTGCTTTGATTGGCTTCGTACGCGCAAAGCGTCAAATGCTTGTTGCTTGTGTGCTTGCTTGCGCGGCAATCGAGTTTGTCTCGTAGCGAAGTGTTCAGCCCAAGAGCAATTCCTGAGACGGTCAGGTCCAGATATATGTTAGATGTTCATGTTCTGAAAGTAAGTGAGCCAACATCGAAATGCGGGGTTTGCATGAATGCGCAGTTCAGAACGTGAGAGTCTTGTCCACTAGGCACAAAGTCACAAAGTACATTCCTTGCTTGTGGCATGTGGATTCAAGTATTCGCCCTTTGGCATCCCGGGAGTTTTGCGAAGCTGCGAAGACCAAGCATCCGAAGCGCAGTCCACCAAAAGCCTTTGGGCACCGGGAATGTCGTAGAAACACGAGCATGAAGGGAGCGTGAGAAGCCAGCAGGTGTCCTTCTCAAGTCATCAGGTTTTCGGGAATGAACCACGAATTCTGTGACGAAGCCACCTTCAGTTCGGGGGGCCAACTCATTCCCTGCAAGCCAGCAAGTAATCAATATGGGATACCCCCCCCCCACCCCTAGAATCCCCTTTTCTAGACCCCGCCCCCATCCGGCGCCACTCTCAAACCCGCACCCCACCCCTGAACCACCTCGCCCTTTCTGGACCCCCAGAACTTCTCTGAATGAGACCCCGGCCCAAACACCCAGCCCCCTGAGAAACAACAAGATTGGTTGCTGCCATCGCAAGGCGTGGACACCAGAACAGAGGTCGCTGACCTGCTGAAGCAGGACATTCTGATCGGGGGGGGGGTAAGGGTGTTCATGGGCAAACCAAACAATAAGTTGGGTGTTTTTGTTTTTTGTTTTCTGTTTTTTTTCAGAGGGGGGGAACCCATTTCGGTGTTCACGGGAACCCGAACGAAAAACCGGCAACAATCAGAAGGGTGTGGCATTGATTGCAAGATTTGTAAGGCCCTGGTCCTCGCAAAGATGCCCAAACCCAGGCGAACCCAGTAATTACCCTTTTGTTCATTTTTTGGCGGGGTGAGGGGTTCACATCACACCTCGCGCCAGGACAAGTACATCGATCTGGTCATCCCCCGCGGCTCCAATGAGCTGGTCCGCTCCATCAAGGCCAGAGCCCTTCGTTCGCCTTCGTTCGCTCGAGCTCATCTCCCCTGACCCCATGGATTTTAGCCTCAAAGGCACCCGCTTGGTAACCTGGTAGATGTAAGGGAAACCCCATTTTCTGACTTTCAGTCCAGACACAGCTCAAATTTATGCGCCCGGTGCCCGTAAACCTTGCGTTCAACTCGTGTCAAGCTTCAACTTCACAGTGCCAAGTGTGTTTGTTAGGATTTGCACCCCCTAAAATGGTGGATTGCCTTTTGGTTGTCCTTTAAACGCACCCTACCCTCAACAAACAGACCCAGTTATCGCGGCCCGAAGAAAAGCACCTTGCAGCAAGTCGAACCATGGTTGCTGGGACAAGAAACAAAAGGGTGCTCCTCTGATGTCTCTATTCTTCCTGCCTCAATAGTATCTATGTTTCGGCTGCTTGGCTTGTGGAGGGAATATCGAACACCCCTCTTCTGTTGCCTGGGCACTAAAGTCCGCCTTCATGGATTGGCAAAGCCTGTCAGTGACTGCCATGGTCAACGCACCTCGTTTACTTGGTAGGGACGGTCATCGACTCCTCAAAAGGACATAAGGCAACCAGGATAAGGATTCTGAAGCAAGCCATGACAGCAAAATGTTCACCTTCTGGACTAAACTGGCAGAGAGAGAAAACGAGTGTTGCCAGGGGTGGCTATTGACCTGCCTAAGCACGCTGAATCGCTTTGCCTACAGAATAGCATATCATGATCATTCTGTGCACACTGCGCGGATTCAATGCTTCTAGTGCTGTGCGACAGAAGGAATCCAAGTGACCAAGTGCAGCCAGAGTTAAATGCCAACCCACCAGGCAGCTGTCTTTTGCTTGGCCGCTGGTTGCTCAGTTGCCAAAAAGCAACTTTTGACCTTTTGGTTTTCCCGGTTTGGTCCGTTCTTGGAGGTGCCAAAAGGTTAAGCTTTTATTTGCCCGTGTCCTTTGGGCAAGTGAGGTTGGCAACAATGGTCGTTGCTTGGCGCCAGGATGCCTCTCGAATCCCCGTGATGGGCCACGCGGACGGGATTTGCGCCGTCTACGCACCGGCACCCAGCTGCGGAGTCGTCCCGTACACGGGGGGCGACTGTGTGACCTCTGTCAGAGGCTTTTGGGGGCAAGGATGGTTTCGGAATGGAATGCTTGCCTTTGTCTCCTTTTCTTGAACTGTTTGTTTTGGTGTGTTCTTTGGGCGCAAAGCGCATACCTGTCCGATGTTCGGGCGTTTCAGACAACAACGTATACAAGTTTGGCACACTCATGGCCTTCTGGCTTGGAATTCCATGCAGGCAATGCAGCTTTGATAGCGTTTGCAATATTGAACGCCAAGCGAATCTCAAGATGCATAATGTGTTAGTTGGTTGACTGTTTGCCTTTGTTGCTCGACTTGGGGGGGGTGGGGAACGTGTGCTTTTGTTGGCGAGGTGGACAACATGATCCATTATGCCAAACCAACATGGAAAGTCGAAGAAACACTTTCCTGTATTTCAGTGTCTCTTGCTATTCATCAGGTTGCAGCATGATTATAATGTGCCAAGAACGCACCAAGTTGATATCATGGTTCGAACCTTGGGCTGCAGAGACAACCAAGGGATATCCTTTCCTGCACTTGCTGCAAAAAAGGCGCAGACCTTTCCTCCACTCGCTTTAGTCATGCGGGGTTGCCGGGAGTGTGCACTGCCTGACGTTCTTTTGAGCACCAGTCAAGTCTGAGGTTGATGCGAAAGCGGATTTGGACAAGGCACCAGGGCATGGCAAAGCGGACCCTTCTTGACACACTCATGTTCATCGGAGTAGTCTCTTGAAAAGAACAGACAACTGTGATTTGTTGATTCACTATGTCATCCTGCAATTGAGGCCCAATCAAGTACCTGTGCTGGCGGTCGTGCCCCCGAAACTTGCGTTGTTGTTGCCCAGTCACCCCAAAAACTGCCATAGGGATCTGACCCCGATCTGAACTGTGATTTGGCGCACTCGTCAGAGGCCGAGTTCGGGCCTGAACCATCTTACTTCTCAATCTGGGACTCAAATGGAACTCCATTGGTTGTTGACTGCTGCCATTTCTGGAGGTTGTATTTTGCATCCAGTTTCTGGTGTCCCTTGAATCCCGTTCAACACCACCCAAAAAAGGCAACCCTCAAAAACGAGACCCGTGTATCGGTCTTGCTGACCCGAATTGCCAACCCACAGCCCACCCCCTTCGGCACAGGGGAGTGCGGGGATGCTCCCCTTTGATTGTTTGTTTGTTTTTTCTAATCAGAGCCAGTTGGGCTCGGGGTTTCGTTGCTAGTTATTTTTGATTTGTCTCGTGGTTGATTGTTTTTCAATAACAAACCATTGATGTAATAGAGCCGGTTGTTTGCAGAACAGCAGTCCATCGTGTTCGCTTGGTTCATGCCGCAAAGAGACTCGCTTTCTGAGTTCCTGGACTTTACATTTTGTGGGAAGACCGTTTTAGTGGCACACAAACCCTTGTTGTTCTTTGGGTAAGTGAGATGGGTGTCCACCCGTGTTGCTTGTGAGTGCTTTTGTGCGTATGTTTCCATGGGCAACTTCCTCATTTGTTTCCAGGAATTGCCTTTGCGTAAAGCCACCAAGAAACCATGGACAACGCCTGGTTGTTGAAACGTACGTTAGTTGAAGAGTATGGGGACCAACCCCATATAGTTCATCCATGCGCCAAATCTCGCAGGCGGTGAAGATCGTGGTGGATTCCAAGACTCACTACTGTGCTGCTTGCAACTCCATGGAGACCCTGCTGGTGCACCAAGAGGCGACTTTTGTTCCCTAGTACTTGAGGCGTCATTCAAGGTATTGACGGATCAGGCGACAAATCATCAAATAGACCATTCTGGCTTTCAATAAAAAACACCTGGGGATGCCCCTTTCAGGCTGCTATTCTCTTTGTGAGTGAATCAAACTCATCTTTGGGTCAATTTGTTTTGAATGTCCTCGTGTTGGGATAGGCCTCCTTTCAACAGGAAATTAGCCCCCTGCGCTCATGCTCAAAACGTCGCCGTTCCAACCTTTGCCAGAGGTTGCCAAAACAAAAGGCTTGCACCATAGTGCATGAACCCGTGTGACTCTCCTGATGTGCTGCTTTGCCGCTATACAGCTTGAGGAATGTTCAGGATAGCCAGTGCGAGGCCAAATTGTGTTTGCCAATCAAAGATGGATGCATTTGGGGATGTCCAAACCTTAAGGGTCCCTGTTTGCAGGGTGCTTAAAGAGAAACCAAAAGGAAATTAACCAACTGCCCCTAGTTGTCAGAAATGCCCGTTTGGAGTCGGCATTTTTGGGGGACTCTCAGATGATCTCGGTGCCTTACAGGTGGTGAAGGAGTTTCTGCCCAAGCTGGCCAAGGCTTTTGAGGCCAAGGAGGATGTCAGATATAAGGCCGGTCGAGAGATTCCTGCAATGAGAGGAGGAACTACGAGGGGACCGTTTTTCTCGTTGGGATGCGGGAAGAGATTAGACCGAGTTGCCTTTTGATCATGGGATAATTGCATTTGTGATGGTTAGCCCATGATATGATTCTTTCAGACTAGGATCAGAATCAAACCCACCCTCCAAAAGATGACTGAACCACCAAACCGCTCGCTACTTTTTGTTATTGCTTGGCACTAGAGTCGCTGTTACACTTACTTAATTCGTTGAGACGACTGAGCAATTTCGACGGATGTGTTGAGTCCCGTTGGTTGCGCAAGGAGCATGGCCAAACATGATCGCCTTTCATCAGACAGGGCCGGCCTGTTGCTTGGGTTTATGTCCCAATTCGTATGTTTCATGGTGAGGTTGATGGCTTCCACTGGCTTCCGCTTGGTTTCACCAGTATGGGTTACTCGTTTGTTTTGTGAAGCGCGGACTGTGAAGACTGAGCCGGATGGCCTCGAGGCGGACCCACTGTGCCTCTCGTTGCTGCCCAAAGAGGTTACGGAAGCGGCAGAGGAGGCAGCCCAGGGGGGGATGGCGTGCTGGGAGTTTTTGGCAATTCCTCTCTTAGAAGTGCAGAGCCCTCATGAAAACGCAGCGCCGTTTCAAGAGGGCACCCTATTTGGAGAGCAAAGAAGTCTGGGCTGGTCTTGGCTGGGATTGATGTGTGTGTATGCAGTGTTTAGTCAGAGAAAGCCTGTCCTCGCAAGACGACCCACCAGGCTGGCCACCCACTATTTCGAAACCTGCAAGAGGGCTTGACAATGCATGTGGGGCATGTTTCACACCCCCCGTATGTAGTTCAACATTTGGCATGTTGGTGTAGATACAATTGCGTACG